TGTCTGTCTCTCTCTCTCTCTCACACACACACACACACAGACAGACACAGACACACACAATTATGTTATTTCTAATGCACCATCAGGAAAACTGACCATTTCCAGTTTGGTAAGAGTAGTGTGGCAAGGAATTGCTGCTAAAAATTTGGAAGAACACATCAGTTCTCATGCAGGTTTGTGGCCCAAATTCAGACTTTCTTAAATGGCCTGATAAAACTAGCCAATAGTGTAGTTCAGATTTTTTTCCAAGCTGGTAATGCCTCCAAGCATTCAGTAGAAAGCCTCTTTAAAGTTTTGTCTGAGGAAAACATGACTCTTGGGATAAAGGGATGGCCTGAAAACTTTCAGAGAGGAGAAAAAGACCCAGTCAAAGGAACGAGGATATGCATAGCATAAACTTCACTGGCACCACTAAAGCTGAAAAACAATAGAGAAATGTCATCAGGGCTTTAAGGAAAAATCACCCCTCCTAAAAAAAAATTATACTTAGCAAAGTTATTGATGAAATATGAGGGTAAAATATAGACATGTTCATAAAAGTGAGTTCCTAATAATTTGCTTTTTCTTGGAAATTCCTAGCAGGAATAAATCAAGAGAGATGTAGCATTCAAAATTATATAGGAATCATGTTTGGATATGAACTGTCCCCTGCAAATGTCTCATCTCTTAGGAGTATGGTCCCCAGCTGCTGGCACTATTTTGGAAGGCAATGAAACTCCAAGAGTGGGACTTCACCGAATGTACGTCAGCCAGAGAGGCGTCAGGGCTGTTGTGTCCCTGGGCCCTTCCCAGTCTCCTGGCCACCATAAGGTGAAAAAGCTCACACTCCATCATGTATATTTTGGCCATGATGCTCTGCCATTCTGTGGGCCCAGAATCAACAGAACTAAGGTTAAGAATGACAGCTCTGAAACCATGAGCCAAAATAAATCTTTGATTGTGTCAGTATTTAGTTACAGGGATAAGAAAAGTAGTACAAGGGAGAATGTAACATAGAAAACAGGCATGGAGAAAAAGGCCTGAGGTAACAGCTTTCTGACAGACATGCAGAAGTACTAACTTGAAGTAGACGAAAGAGAACTAAGGTTTCAGATAAACATGAAGATACATGTGAAATACACACAAATATGTTCAAGGCAATTTTTATTTGTACAGGACTTGAGGATGAACTCACAATAAAAGTATAGAAAAGTAGCAAACAAAAACTGCATTTAAATTGGCAAAAAAAAGTGAGTTTTATTTTTCAAAAGGTATCCTGAAATACTACATGACTTACTTCTTAGTAATACAAAGTCAAATAGTGTCAGACATAAATACTCCAGGATAGGAAGAAGCAAGATGCAAATAAGATGGAGACATAAGATAGCATAATCTTCCTCCTCCTCTATAGAAGGAAATCAGATAGTCTTGAAGGCTAAAATTAAAAAAATAAAAAAAAATCAAGAAAATCTACATATACTTATTAGTTAAAATAAGAAGGTAGGGTCAACCAGGCATGGTGTCAGAGGGAGGCAGAGACAGGCAGATCTCTGTGAGTTTGAGGCCAGCCTAGTCTACAAAGCAAGTCCAGGATAGCCAAGGCTACATAGAGAAACCCTATCTTGAAGAAAGAAGGAAAGAAAGAAAGAAAGAAAGAAAGAAAGAAAGAAAGAAAGAAAGAAAGAA